TATGAGGGTGTGTATCTTTTTTTAATATTAAAAAATTTTATTTTATGTGTATGCGTGTATTGTCTGCATATAGGTAAGCGCACCCATGTTGTGCAATGCCCGCAGAGATCAGAAGAGGCTGTCCGATTCCCTGGAACTGGAGTTATGGACAGTTGTTAGCTGCCATGTGGGTGCTGGGATTTGAACCCGGGTCTTCTGCAAGAACAGCCAATGTTCTTAATCGCTGAGCCATTTCTCCAGCCCCCCTCTCCTTCTACCTTGTTTTGAGGCAGAATCTCTCTTGCCCTTTATGGGCGTGGGGGGATCTCGGGGTGCCAGCTGCTGGGCGTGGCGCCGATCTCCCACACCTCGCTGGAGTGCGGCGGGTCCGCGGGCCGAGTCTGCTGGGGTGCGCACGTGTCCCGCACCGCATTGCTGTGGGTCTCCGCGTCTACTGGGTGCTGGTGACTCCACTGATCGCTGCGCTCCCAGGCGGGTCCCTGCTTCTCTGTTGTTGAGGCTCTCTGCTACCGGGGCTGGCCCGGTCAGGTTCCGTCCCAATCCACCGTACACTCTCTCTCTAAGTTCGGGACGTCAGCTGCAGGGAGGTGCAGGACCGGGAAAGCTGGATTTCTGTGAGTCTGTGAGTCCCGGCTTATGAAGAGACAGCTCTCTCCGGGAAGACTGGATCGTAGGCAGTAAGACACTGAACTCAGCTCAGTCAGTGGTACAGCCCCTTTTATTCAGTGACTCAGCTGGCTCCAGGCCTTAGTGATCCAGCTTCCATTAATTAGGGGAAACGAGGATATTTTATACTGTGGGGGTAGTAGTAAAAGCCTTAGCTGATAGGTACTTTTAGGATGCCTCATTTACATGTGGTGGTGGGCTCCTGCCAGGCAGCCAGACATTGTCTGAAAATCACACAGGAAAAGCTGGCAGTTCCAGAGCCGGAGGCCATGGCTACTTCAAAAGATGAGTCAGGAAGATGCCAGGAAGGCACCCTGCTGATAAAAGGAGTCTCTGCATATGAAGCCGAGCCCATAGGCTATCCAGACATGGAGAGACTTTACACAACAGGGGTCCCCAACAGCCCTTTCCACCACTGCACTGGGCGCTCCAGGCTGGACTGGCCCAGGAGTTTCCAGATGATGATCCTGTATGCACTTCGCACCCGTCTATAGCAGTGCTCCAATTACAAATGTGTGCCACTGCACCCAGCTTTTTTTAATTGATTTTTTTTTTGCAAATTTCATACAATATATATTGATCATACTCAGGCCCCCTTCCCTATTTAGGCCCCCCATTGTCCCCCTACTGGTTTCCATAGATTTTGTCATATATGTTAAGGCCTATCAAGCCAAGTTCATGTCCCCAAATGTCTCTCAGTTTGTTTTGGTTTTTGAGACACGGTCTTACTATGCAGCACTAGCTGGTATGCAACTTGCTATGTAGACCAGGCTGGCCTCAAACTCATGGAGATCTGCCTGCTTCTGCTTCCCAAGAGCTGGGATTAAAGGCATGCACCAGTACACCAGGCTTATTTTTACTTTTTACATGTATGAATGTTTTGTCTGTGTGTATGTAAGTACACCATATGTGTGTAATACCCATGGAGGCCAGAAAAGGGCCTCTTGGAGTTTTGGATGATTGTTAGCTATCACATGGGTGCTGGGAATTCAACCCAGTTCCTCTGCATGTGCTCTTAACTTCTGAGTCATCTCTCCAGACCCTCCATCCAGCTTTTTAAAAAAATGTAGGTTCTAGGGCCGGGTGTGGTGGCACACACCTTTGATCCCAGCACTTGGGAGGCAGAGGCAGGCAGATCTCTGTGAGTTCAAGGCCAGCCTGGTCTACATAGTGAGTTCCAGGACAGCTGGGGCTACAGGGAGACCCTGTTTCAAAAAGACCAAAAGAAAAAGAAAAAAAAAAGTGGAGTCTGGGGTCCAAATTCAGGTTATCAGCCTTGTAAGCCAATAGCTTTCTACCCACTGAAACATCTTGCCAGCCCTAATATATATTTTAAGGTATAGTACTTTACTGTTGACCGTAGTTACAATATTGTAGAACAAGGGGCTAGAGTATAGTTCAGAGGTTAAGCCCAGTTGCTGCTTTTGTAGAGGCACTGGGTTTGTTTTCCAGCGCCCACAGGACCGCTGTAACCTGTAACTGAAGCTCCAGGGTATCTGACACCTCTGGCCTCAGCAGGCACCTACACTCATGTGCACATCACACACATACACATAGTTTTTTTTTATTTTTATTTTTTTTTTGGTCTTTTTGAGTATTTATTATTTTTATTTTATGTGTATGAGTGTATTGCCTGCATGTATGTGAGTGCACCTGTGTCATGCAATGCCGCAGACGTCAGAAGAGGGCTTCAGATTCCTCTGGAACTGGAGTTAAGGATGGTTTGTAGCTGCCATGTGGGTTCTGGGACTTGAACCCAGGTCCTCTGCAAGTGCAGTCAGTGTTCTTAACCACAGAGCCACCTCTCCAGCCCCATACCCATAAATTTTTTTAAAAAATCAAAATAAAAAAATTTTTTGGCCTTTTTTTGAGACAGGGTCTCCCTGTAGCCCCGCTGTCCTGGAACTCACTATGTAGACCAGGCTGGCCTTGAACTCACAGAGCTCCTGCTTCCCAAGTGCTGGGACTAAAGGTATGCGCCACCATACCTGGCTAAAATAAAAAAAATAAAAATTAAAAAAAATTAATAAATCTTTGGCCAGACGTGGTGGTGCACACCTTTAGTTCCAGCACTCAGGAGACAGAGGCAGGGGAATCTCTGTGAGTTCCAGGTCAGCCAGGGCTACAAGGCAAGACCCTGTCTCAAATGTCCTCCATCCCTAAAAAACAAACACACCTAATTTTTTTTTTAATCACAAAATGTTTTAAGTAAGTTGACCACACTCACAGGACCCTCAGGTGGACACTTGCATCTGGGAGTTTCTCCAGAAAATTCCATGCTGGAGGTGAGGACAGGCTTGTGGAGGGAGCCATGGTTCCAAAGGAGGGAGAGAAGAGACAGGCTGGTGGGAAGAAGACATCCCACACAGCTGATAGCTGATTTGGCAGCTATTTCACAGGTATGTTGACCCATGCATATTTCCTGGCTTCTGTTCCATGTTCCATTGATCCTAACACTGCAGACAAATCAAGTTTTTCTCTCCCAAGTTCTGGCCAAACTATGGATAATCTATTTGCTTTCATCTAATTCCTCTTTTAAATTTTATTTCATTTATTATTAGTGTATGGGTACGTGCTCCTGCCATGGTGTACATGTGGCTGTCAGAGGACAACTTTCTGGAAGTCCATTCTCTCCTTCCACCATGGGATAACTCAGGTCATCCTGCATACTCAGGCTTTCCCCCACAGAGCCATCTCTCCAGCCCTCCATCAGTTTCTGCCTCCTGCTTTATGGTGGGAACAGTAAGCAATGATCTTGAGATTCTAACGGTACAGAGGACGTGAAGGACCGCTGTCCTAAGCGGCTGGGATATCCACATCCTCTTTGGAGGTCTGCTGGGAAGCAGGAACCCTTGACTGTGTTCACTCACCAAGGATGATATATAGTCTCACTCCTAACCTCACTCCTGCCCCTTCAGGTCCCATCACATCTTCTTGCATGCAATCTGCAATCCTCCCCGACTCTCTCACTGCACAGCAGCTAGAATGTTTCTCTCTCTCTCTCTCTCTCTCTCTCTCTCTCTCTCTCTCTCATTCACTGTGCCTGGAACCTGTTATGTAGATCAGGCTGGCCTCAAACTCCCAGAGATCTACCTGCCTCTGTTTCCCAAGGGCTGGGATAAAAGATGTCCACCTCCACATCTGGCCTCCTCTTTCTTTTTTGAGACAGGGTTACTTTGTAGCTCAGGCCAGCCTGGAAATCACTATGTAGCCCAGACTGGCCACAAACTCCCATCATCATGCCCCAGTCTCCAGAATACCAGGATTACACATGTGTACCACCATGCTTAGCTCTAGAATGTACTTTCCTCTTCTTTTCCTTTCATTCCTTCCATTCTTTGGGGACAGAGTGTCATTATGCACCCCCCCACCCCCACTGACCTGGAACTTTGCACGCCGGGCTAGCCCTGAAAGGAGTCAGTCCTCCTGCCTCTGCCTCCTGAGTGCTTTAGGTGTGTGACTTCACAGGCAGCTAAGATGCGCTTTCTAAACAACTCCAGCAGAGTCTGGT